GGGAGGGTTGGACATAGGATGAGGCCAGGGGTGGGGAGATTTTGAAAATGGTAAAGTCCACATTGAGACCATTGGGCTGTAGGCTCTCAAGGTGGAATATGAGGTGCTGCTCCTCCAGTTTCCAGGTGGCGTTATTGTGACACTGGGGGAGGCCCAGCATGAATATGTCGCCCAGGGAATGGGAGGGGGAGTTGAAATAGTTCACGACTGGAAGGTGTTGCCATTTGTTGCGAAAAGAGCACAGGTGCTCTACAAAGTGGTCTCCGAGCCTCCACTTGGTATCACCGATGTACAGGAGGCCACATCGGGAGGAGTGGATGCACTAGACCACATTGATGGATATGCAGGTGAACCTCTGACTGATGTGAAAGGTTTGTCTGGTGTCTTTGATTGAGCAAACTAAATAACCTGAGGCCTTAAACTAACGTGAGTTTCTCCTTCAGAAATGTTGAGAAGTGTTATCATTTATAAAAGCCCTACGGAAGAACTGAACAGTTAATTTCTGCTCAAGACAGTATGAAATTGAAGTAGTTCCTGGACTATGCTGGGAAATGTGCCATTTACTGCCTTAAAAGGCATCAGGACTCTTGCCAGCTCCAGCAGAGGTAATAGATTACCTTCCTAAGAGAGACGTGTGCTCCAGTGGGGCCAGAAAATTCAAGAAATTCAAATTTAAATTGCCTTCTTTCCAGACTTTTTCTCGATTGTTACATGGCATGTGGCTTTTAATTGGATTATAGATGGAATTAGTACTTGGGACTCTAGCCTCTAACTCAATTTTAATGGACTGAGGCTTAATTATTTGCTCTGGTCTGATGTTTCTGTGCAGTTACAGAGAGTCCTACCATTGTCAGAAGAAAGATCATTCAGCTGAGATATTAAATTGACCTCTTATTTCCTTTCCTACATGCCAGTTTTGGCAGATTGACAAAAATTGAAAAACCTGATTTTTTCTGATGTACTGGTAAACATTTCTCCCTTAACAAACATCAGGAAAATAAACTTACTGGCAATTTATCATGATACTGCTACACTGAAATTGTGCGTCCATTTGCCTATGTAACAACAAGAGGTTATACTTCACAATTATGTCAAATGTCTTTAAATGTCCCAAGAATGCCAAAGACAATTGTAGAAAAAAAAACTATTCATAACTGTATGATTATACAATGTAGATGGGACAAAGTCTTTTTTGAAATGCAAGGCATTGTTCTTACTAATAATCTTTCCAGAAAAATAATCTGCTGCTACATGTGCTCTGAGCAAGGATGCTGTTTTGGTTGAAGTGAAATAAAAAATTGTGTAGAAACAGAGCCTCATCAACCATTGTTCGGGCCCAGCCCAGATGCTTAAAAGTTCCTTAGCATTCAGATCTTTTAACTTTTCTAAGAGAATCCACTATCTGGAATATCGGCAGGCACCTTGTGAAATGAAGAATGTAGTGATAACTTTTGTATTGTCCTTCAGGGTGAAGGAGTTCAGATGCACCACTGGAGTTACCTAATAATGGGAATAATACACTGAATGCTTCTGGTCTGGTGAGCTACATCCTTTGTACTTTGTAAAAGATAGACAGGCTCTTTGGGAGTCAGGAGGTGAGTTACTCATTGCACAATTCCCAGCCTCTGACCTACTCTCAGAGCCACAGAATCTATATAGCTGCTCCAGTTCGGTTTGTTGTCAATGATAACTCCCAGGATGTTGATAGCTAGAGATTCAGTGATGTAATGTCACTGAATGTCACGGGGAGATGGTTACATTCTCTATAGCTGGTAATGATCACTGACTGGCAATTTCGTGGCTCAAATGGCAGTTACCAGTTATCAGATCAGGTTGAATGTTGTCCAAGTCTTGCTGCATACGGATGTGGAGAGTTTCAGTATCTGAGTAACTGTGAATGGAATTGAATGTTGTGCAATTAACAATGAAAATGTCCACTTCTGACCTTATATTGGTGGGAAGATCACAGATGAAGCAGCTGAAGTTGGCTGGACCTACAACACCAGTCCTGGGCTTAGACGATTGGTCCCCAATAATCACAAACTCAGGGATAGACATGACTCCCAGTAAAGAATCTCCTGGATTCCCATTAACCTGAATACAGCTAGGGATCCTTGACACCATGTCTGTTCAAATGCTCCTTTGATATAAAAGAGATCACTCTCACTCTTTCTCTCTCTTGGTGGAACAGTGACTCAGTAGTTAGCACTGCTGACTCACAGCGCCAGGAACCCGGGTTCAATTCCACCCTCGGGCGACTGTCTATGTTGAGTTTGCACATTCTCCCCGAGTCTGCGTGGGTTTCCTCCCGGTGCTCTGGTTTCCTCCCACAGTCCAAAAGATGTGCAGGCTAGGTGGATTGGCCACGCTAAATTGCCCATAGTGTTCAGGGATATGTAGATTAGGTGGGTTATAGGGGGAATGGGTTTGGGTGGGATGTTCCGAGGGTCGGCGTGGACTCATTGGGCCGAAGGGCCTGTTTCCACACTGTAGGGATTCTGTGGATTCTTCAGCTTGATTTTTACCCAAGTTTTGACCAAACAAGGCTGTAATGAGGTCAGGAGCAGAGTGGCTCTGGCAGATCCTAACTAAGCATCAGTGAGCAGGTTATTACTATGTAAGTGCGCTACACAGCACTCTAAATAACACCTTTCACCACTTGACTAATGAGCAAAAACAGGCTAATGGAAGCAGTAATGAGTTGGATTGATTTTTCTTCTGCTTTTTGGGGATAGATTATTGCTGAGGGGTTATCCACATTGTTAAGTAAATGCCAATATTGTAGCTGCATTGAATCAGTTCTGCTACAGTGTGGCTAATTCTCAACATAAATCTTGAAAACTAATGTCAGGATGTTGTCAAAGTTTAAATCCTTATCAGTATCCAGTGCCCTTATGCTTTTTGACATGACATGAAATAAATCCAATTGGCTAAAAACTGGCACCTGTGGTTTTTCATTGAAGATGGGTGCAATTGCATCAGCTTTGACTCTTGTACTGATGTTCTGGGATGACCTCCTCTGCCTATTAGTTATTTAATATCCACCATGTTCCCAAATAAGTAAGGCAGGACTGTGGAGCTTAGGTCTGATCCTTGTTTGGGATCACTTAGCCTTTTCTATTGCACACTGCTTCTGCTCTTTGACATACAAAGATCTCGGTGTTGAAACTTCATTTGCTGCTCCTGGCATGCTTCATTGCCCCTTCACTAAACCAGGATTGATCCCCTGGTCTGATGGAAATGATAGAGTGAGGGATATGGTAGGCGGTAAGGTTACAGATTGTGGTTCAATACAATTCTTCTGCCGCTGTCAGGGCTCGGCGCCTCACGGAAACCCAGCTTTGAGCCACTGGATTAGTCCAGAGTTCCAAGACTTTCCCGTTAAGTGGGTTGATAGTGCCACACAACATAATGGGAAGTATCCTCAATGTATATTAGGGACTTCATCTTTGCAAAAACAATGCAGTGGTCAATCCTATTTATCCTGTAATGGACAAATGGACAAGGTCTATTAGGAGTTACCTTCTTTTCACCACCTTCCACATGCATTGTCTGACAGATATGTTCTTTAGTCAAGCCTTGCACCACCAGCTTGATGGTGAGGTTCCCCACCCAGTAGACATATTGTGCCTTTGTCATCCACAAAGCTTCTTCCACATGGTGTTCAACATGAACATACCGAATCATCATATGAGGCAGGGCAGTAGATTCCTTGCCCATGTTTGATTTGATGTCATGAGACTCCAGAAGGCCTGGAATCAATGTTCATGATTCCAATCATCTCCCTCTTGACTGTATATTCCTGAACGACATCTCTTATGAGCTTATCGTGTCCCATTAACAGGGATGGTGATTAAAGTTTTTGAGAAGATTTGTAGCTCAGGTTGTGGATGGTGTTGTTGATTTGTTTGCTGAGCTGATAGGTTGGTTCGCAGGCATTTCATCACCATACTAGGTAACATCATCAGTGCGCCTCCAATAAAGCATTGTTGGTCTGTCCCACTTGTTATTTATGTGGTCTGATCTGATGTGGTGGTTGGCCTCATTTCTGGTTCTGCTTCGTAGTGGTTGGTATATAGGGTCTACTCCCACATTTATTGATGGAGTTCTGGGTTCAGTACCAGGCCTCTAGGAATTCCAGACAGTGATGGTGATATTTAGGATACAGTCATAATCATCCAATTACACCTTACAACATCAAGCTGTTACTGGACTAGTCTGTGAGACAAATCTCCCAATTTTGGCACAAGGCCTCAGATGCCTTTGCAAAGTCCACATGCCTGGGTATGTCATTTTAGTTTCCAGTGCCAAGGTCAATGGTTTTATTCCTTTTGTGGGGTTGGTTTGGAAAGCAGTGTGTGGCCAACAGCATGGGTCCAATTCTCATCACTGGCTGAGGTTACTGTAAAGGACTCTATTTCTCAATCTCTTCCCTCACCTGAGGTATGGTGACCCACAGGTTAAATCACCACCAGTCATCTCTCTCTAATGAGACAGGACCACTACGGTCTTTGTTCCTTTTGACTTTTCTGAAGCTGTTGGTACAACTGAACCTGGTTTCCCAGGTTGTTTCAGGGAGCAGTTAAGAGAGTTAACCACGCTGTTGTGCATCTGGACAACATTGTTTTTGGTCAACTAGGTGGGCATTTATGATAACTTACAGTAATTTCATTGTCAGAATTACTGAGACTAGTTTTCAATTATAATTTTTTAAAAAAAATGTACTAATTATTTGCATTTAAATTCCAATAATTATCATGTTGGGATTCAAACCTATGAGTCCCGTTTTTAGCCAGGATCAATGGACTTTCAGTCCAGGGATATTTTATTTTTTTGTTCACAGGATGTCAGTGTCATTGGCTGGGTAAGCATTTAATTATCCATCCCTCATTAATTACCGCAATGCCACTGTCTCTCCCTATGAAATACATACCATAAATCATCAAAAGAATAATATCTCATAATCATCCTAAAAAGATATGAAGTACTGATATGCTTACCAATTTTGTCAAGTTGTCTGGAGACATATGTAGAGTTGTCCCAAAGTTTAGCCCTAAAACATTTGGCTAAGATCACTGCGTTCAATAGTGCCATAAAGCTCTTATTTTCTTGTTGCATAAGCAATTCCGAAAGGCCTATTGATCAAGTATTACAGAAGACTGAATTAGAAGACAGAGTTCCCTTCTGATAAACTTAAAATTCATTCAACCTTAAAAATTGTCAGTTGCAAGAATGCAGAAAAGAAATATATCTTCCATTTTCAGTATCTGATTGTTACTTACAGTGGACAATTGTTTAGAGCTAGTAAATGAAATTATTCAGTGAAGAAAAATAACCTAGTTGAAGAGATTGCTATTTAAAAGTCATCACTAACTTGTACATTTTCATTACATTTTATATAAAACCAATATTACTGATTACTTTTTATGCTTAATGGTATTGAAATTCCAATATTTTTGTGTTTAATCTCTATTCATTAAGCAGTTAGGAAAAAATACAAAATACTATTTAGTGCTGAAAGTAATATTTCATTTTTACCTACATTTTGTAACTCTCACACCACACTTAAAAATCTTGGCTGTATCTTGAGTTAATGTAAATTCTTGAACTGGAATACATCCTAGTTGGGCTTGAATTAGGCTGCAAGAGAGGAAGCATATTCTATACACAGTAGAAATCAAAAAAAAATTTAAAAGGATGAAGGTAATAATAGTCAAACAATAAAAATGTACACGTTGCACTCCAAAGAAGTCACTGAACTCAAATTCTGTTTTTCTTGCTGCAAATACTGCCAGACCTGCAGAGATTATTTTATTCACATATAGGATGAGGGCTTATCTGGCTAGGCCAGCATTCATTGCCCATCCACAATTGGCCAGAGTATAGTTAAGTGTCAACCACATTGTTGTGGGTCTGGAGTCACATGTAGGCTAGACTAGGTTGACAGATTTCCTTCCCTAAAGGACATTCGTGAACCAGATGGGGTTACCCCACAATCAACAATGGTTTCAGGGTCACCATTAGAATTCAATCAAATTCATCTGTATCAAACTCAAATTCCATCATTTGCTACGGCAGGATTTGAATCCCGGTCCCCAGAGCATTAGCTGAGTTTCTGGATTAATAGTCTAGTAATAATACTACAAGGACATTGCCTTTGCAGTGGCAGCAATGGCATCGGAGTCTGGAGTCCAGAGCATGGCAGCAGTAGGGTCCACAGGACTTTGACGGTCAGCAGAGGAGATGCTGACAAGCGCGAATGGCACTTGGCGACCAAGCAACTGGCGGATCCGGTTGGTAGTTCGCAATGAAGCAGCTGGTGAGCATGAATGCTGTTTGGTGATGAAGCAGCTGGCAAGTCCAAATGTTATTCACTGGTGAAGTGAATAGTGAGCCCAGATGGCGATTGGCAACAAAGCGGCTGGCAAGCTCAGATGTTGTTTGCTGGCGATGCAGATGGTGAGCCCGGCTGACGGTTGGTGGTGACGGACTCAGCCCAGTGCGGGGAAGAGTGAGCCCTCATGGGGAAAGCCCAGCCTGGAACGATTGCAGGCACATGGGTTTCGAAGGACTGTAATGTTGAACTTTTAACGGTATTTCTTTATTTTTCTACACTGTACCCAAGAGTTTGTACCTAGGCACCTTTGTACCTAAGATGGTGCTATGAATGGTGACTTTGTACACTTTTCACTGTACTCCTGTACTTCTGCACTTGAGTACATGTGTCAATAAACCTAATTCTAATTTGTTTTCATTCAGTTTCTCTAACCATTTTATTTTTGTTTCAGATCTTTAGCATCTGCAGCATTTTGCTTTCACTACAATATATTGCTGGCTGTATAAGAGATTTTAATAATTTATTCAGTATGTATATGGTTCTAGAATTTATAGATTCCTGCTGGCCCCAGCCGCTGCCACTGCGAAAGCAATGGTATCACTGCTATCTATTCATTCAGAAACTCAGCTAATGATCTGGGGACCAGGGTTCAAATCCAACCACATAAGATGGTGGAATTTGAATTTGATAAAGATGAGTTGAACTCGATTGAAACCACTGTCAATTGTGATTATGTGCAGCCTTGACTTATTTCTTTTATAAAGCTATTATAAAGAAAAAATTACCAATTAAAAAGGTTTTTTGTGTAATTTTCCACTATTGGTTCCTCATTGAAAGAATATTTCAGGTCTAACCCTTAAGTATTATGTCAAAATTATAGATTACTTTTAAACCAGTTAATTATTGGGTTGATGAACCTTTTACTTCTTCATACTTTTATAACTAGGTATAGAAATTTGATGCTTTTATTGTTTAATGAGAATTTAATTAGCTTTCCCACTAATCATTTCTAAGTCAAAGTTAGATCATTAATCACCCAGTGTGGAATTGCAAAAAAATTGAGGTACACATCCCTGCAGAACTAAACCAGACTATGAGTGAAAGCTAGATGTCTCCAATGTTCTTGATGGAAAAATCATAGAAACAGTTATTCATGGGCTGCCTTTGCATTGCCTCTTATGCTTGACTCATAGGAGTGAATTTGTGGAAGCACACAGGACTATTTTGTTTTTGAAGTGCAAAGAATCAAGAATTAAAGTTCCACCAAGGAAAAATTAAATACAGACTTGTCACACACTTAGATTTGGTACACCATTACAAGGACAAATAATTAACAAATAAATTTACAGAGTTGATCCTTGTTTGAGTACTTTCAATAGGAGTGCTTCATTAGGAAATTGGCGTTATTTATATACCTGGCAATGAATAAAATTTTGCATTTGGCAGGAATTCAACAAGAAATACAGATCTAGCATCTCAAGGAATGTTATTGTAAAGAAAAATGCTGACAATGTCAGAAATTGCATACATAAACTGTTGAAAATACAAAGCAAAGCAATTGAGAATGGTCATCTAGGTAAGGTACATCTAAAAGGACCATAAAGTATGCTGAAATGTGTGTGCATCTCTTAGTCACCATTTCTTGTTGGGATGGGACGATGCATGGAAAGGAGTCAATATTATAGGGAGTAGGATGGGGTGGGGTATGCTGACAGTGGAAATTAATCAATTGCAAAGAAGGATATTGTCTCAGAGAAGACATAGCTGGGAATTTATTGGAGGGCAAGTAGGCTATTCAACCAGTGGAAAAAATGCCCATTTGGATTTTGGACGCCTGAGCATTTTGAAAAATATTGTTTTCTTTTCAGGTATATTTTTTCATGATAACAATTGCGGTTAAGGGATCAGAAACTCAAGTTTTGGAGATATGGTTAGCTTCCATTCCAGTTATTAGCCTTCCTATTATGCAGGCGCATAAGCAGCTACCGTTGTGCTGCATACAGCTTTTAGTAATATTGTAGTTCAATAAGCTGTCTTCTACCTGCTCATTCGGGTGAGATTAGGTCACTGGCTGTCACATCCAGGTTTCAGTCTGCCATGGAAGATGGGAAACTAAATTGGCAGGTCACCAGGAAACTGCCAATGAATTAAATGCACCATGATACATTATCTAACTGACTAAGCATTAACACAAAATGCCAGTTTATTATAAAACTTATGTTGTCATTTGACAATTTTAAGCTGAAAACCTTAACTGGTCATTTTTAAGACTGGAGACCTGGCAATGTTAGAATTCAAGTACAAGTGATTTAGTAGATTGTGAACATTTATATCTAAACAATATGACTAAAGTTGCTTGCAAACATCATGATCCTAAGTTCTCTTACCAATTCACTTTCATTTCATTTGTTTTTACTTTTCCTTCTAAAGGGAACCTGTTTTAATTGAATCAGAGGAAATGTTAGTAAAACCATGGGACAGTTTTTTAATTATAAAAATGTCAATTTACCATGGGGAAACATGACTACGTACTGTTATAGCATGATAGAATAGTTCCAGCACAGAAGGAAGCCATTCAGCTCAGCATGCAACAGCAATTCAGGTGATCCTACTCCCTCATCATTTTCTCGTAGCCCTGTTTATCTTCTCTCTTTGGGTGTTCATTCAATTCCCTTTCAAACACCATGACTGAATTACTTCCACCACATTCTTACGCAGTGCATTCCAGACGCTAACCATTGACTGCATATAATTGCTATTGTCTCATTTGCCAATTACCTTGATTTGGTGTCCTGTAGTTCTCAAGTCTTCTACCAACAAACATAGTTTCTCCCCATATATTTTACAGAAATTACTTATGACTTTGAACACCTCAAACCGATCTCCTCAAAACCTTCTATTCACTCAGGGGAATAGACAATCTATCCACATAACTGAAGATGTTCATCCCTGGATACATTCCTGTAAGACTTTTCTACACACAATCAAATATTTTCCCATCCTTCCCAAAGTGTTGCATTTAAAATTGGATAATAACTCAGTTGAGGCCAAATTAGTTGTTTTGTAAGGTTCAATGTAGTATGAGGTACCAGAAGAATGAAGAATTTCAAACATCATGCTCCTGTTCAACAAGATGATAAGGATAAACTCCATAATTACAGATATCAGTTTAACTTTAGCAATGGGGAAGCTTCTTGGAACAACTATTTCCGATAGAAGTCACATAGAAAAGACAGTTTGATTAGAGTTAACATGGACTTCCAAACAGAAAATTGTGCTTAACTAACTTGCTAGAGTTTTTTGAACAGGTAACAGAAATGTCAATGAGGGCAATGTTATTGATGTGGTTTGCATGGACTGTCAAAATGTATTTGACCAATGGTCACATCTGAGGAAGGTGGGACCTGTTCAAGAGGGACAGTCTTCACCCAAACAGTGAGATGACCAATATTCCTGTGGGTGGTTTTGCTCCTGAAAGTATTAATGCATCTCCATCACGGTCCCATTGTCAATCTCCTCTGCACCAACAAAAACAAACCCAGTCTATCCAAGAGATAGTAGGAACTGCAGATGCTGGAGAATCTGAGATAACAAGGTGTAGAGCTGGATGAACACAGCAGGCCAAGCAGCATCAGAGGAGCAGGAAAGCTGATGTTTCGGGCCCCCTTGACCTGTCCATCCTCCCTGGACCGACATATCCCCTCCCTAACTCCCACCTACACTCACCTTTACTGGCTCCAACCCCGGCTCCTTGACCTGTCTGTCTCCTCTCCACCTATCTTCCCCTCTATCCATCTTCTACCCATCTCCCCCCTCTCCCTATTTATTTCAGAACCCCCTTCCCCTCCCCCATTTCTGAAGAAGGGTCTAGGCCTGAAACGTCAGCTTTCCTGCTCCTCTGATGCTGCTTGGCCTGCTGTGTTCATCCAGCTCTACACCTTGTTATCTTGGACTATTATTTAAATGGTGAAAAATTGCAGCATGCTGCTGTGCAGAGGGACCTGGGTGTCTTTGTGCATGAATCACAAAAAGTTGGTTTGCAGGTGCAGCAGGTAATTAAGAAGGCAAATGGAATGCTGTTCTTCATTGCCAGATGGATGAAGTTTAAAAACAAGGAGGTTATGCTGCAGCTGTGTAGGGTGCTGATGAGGGCACACCTGAAGTACTGCGTACAGTTTTGGTCCCCTTTGGTTCCAGAGTTGAGAGGGTTGGCTTTTGAGGAGAGAGTGAGTAGACTAGCAATATACTTACTGGAATTTAGAAGAATGAGCAGGATCTTATAGAAACATATAAAATTATGAAGTAAATAGATAAGATAGAAGCAGGGAGGTTGTTTCTACTGGCAAGTGAAACTAAAGCTAGGGGGCATAGCCTCAAAATAAGAGGAGCAGATTTAGGACTGTGTTGAGGAGGAACTTCTTCACCCAAGGGATTCTGACTCTATGGAATTCGCTGCCTGATGAAGCAGTTGAGGCTACCTCATTGAATGTTTTTAGAGCAAAGATAGATAGATGTTTGAACAGAATTAAGGGTTAGGGTAGATGACGGGTAAGTGGAGCTGAGTCCATGAAAAGTAGCCATTATCTTATTGAAAGGCGGAGCAGGCTTGATGGGCCAGATGGCCTTCTCCTGCTCCTATTTCTTATGCTCACACAAGAGACATGCGAGATGATCTTTGGGTCATGGAAGAAAAGGACAGAAGCAACGTGGATACAAAATTGAATGAGTTGTGGAACAGGAGGTAATGGTCTATGAATGTTTTTTTCAGGCTGGTGTAAGATTTGTAGGTGAGTTCCCAGGGTTGATACTGGAATTCCAGGGTTATGACCCAATGACAGTGAAGGAACGGTGATATATTTCCAAGTCAGATGGTGAGTGGCTTGGAAGAGAACTTGCAGGTGTTGGTTTTCCCATGTATCTGCTGCCCTTGACCTTCTAGATGGAAGTAGTCATTGGTTTGCAAGGTACTGTCTAAGGATCTTTTGTGAATTTCTGCAGTGCAAGCTGTAGATAGTACATACTGCTGCTACTGATCGTCAGTGGTGAAGGGATAGGATGCTTGTGGATGTCCTGCCAATCAAGCAGGCTACTTTGTCCTGGATAGTGTCAATTTTTTAAATGTTGTTAGAGCTGCCCTGAGCAATGACTGCTAAGTGATGTTCAGTTTGAGTCCTGCCAGGGCCACTTAGCCTTGGTTCAAACATGGACAAAAGAGGTGAATTCCAGAGGTGAGGTGGATTGACAGCCCTGACATCAAGGCTGCATTCAACTGAGTGTATCATCAAGGATCCCAAACAAAACTAGAATCAATAGGGATCAGGGACAAACTCTCCATTGGTTGCAATCTGCCTGGCACATAGGAAGATGTTTGGGGTTGTTGGAAGTCAGTCATCTCAGCTACATAACATCTTTGCAGGGGTTCCTCAGGGTTGTGTCCTCACCATCTTCAGCTATTCCATCAATTACTATTCCTTCATCATAAGGTCTCAAATGAGGATGTTTGCCAATGATTGCACAACGTTTGGAACCATTTGCAACTCCTCAGATACTGAAACTGTCCATGATTGAATGTAACAAGATAGGGACCATATCAAGACTTAGGCTGACAAGAAGCAAATAACATTCATGCCACACCAGTACCAGGCAATGACCATTTCCAAAAAGAGACAATATAATCACTATCCCTTGACATTCAATGGTGTTACCATCACTGGACATTGAAATCCCCCACCCAGAGTACATTTTGACCCTTGCAACCTTCAGTGCTTCCTCCAAATATTATTCAACATGGAGGAGTATTAATTCATCAGCTAAGCACAGATGATACGTGGTAATCAGCAGGAGGTTTGCATGCCCATATTTAATACTGAAGCCATAAGGCTTCATTGAGTCCAAAGTCAATGTTGAGGACTCCCTAGGTAACTTCCTCCTGACTGTATATCACTGTGCCGCCATCTCTGCTGGGTCTTTCCTGCGGTGGAACAGGTCATATCCAGGGATTGTGATGATGGTGTCTGGGTCTTTGTCTATCAGGTACGATTTTGTGACTATGTCAGGCTGTTGCTTAACTATGAGAGAGGTCTCCCAATTTTGGCACTAGCCTCCAGATGTTAGTAAGGAGAATTTTGTAGGGTCGACAGGACTGTTTCTGACATTGTCTTTTCCAGTGCCTAGGTTGATGCCAGTTTCATTTCTTTATTAAGATTTCATTGCAATTGATAAAACTGAGTGGCTTGCTGGGCCATTTCAGAGAGCAGTTAAGAATCAACCACATTGCTAAGGCTCTGGAGTCACATGTAGGCCAAAGCAGGTGTGGAACGGCAGATTTCCTTCCCTGAAGGACATTATAGAGTCATACAACATGGAGACAGACCCTTCAGTCCAACATGTCCATGATGACCAAGTTTCCTTAACTAAACTAGTCCCTTTTTTCTGCATTCGTTCCATATCCCTCTAAACCCTTTCTATTCATGTACCTATCCAAACGTCTTTTAAATGTTGTCACTCTATCTGCATCTACCACTTCCACAGTAGTTCATTTCACATACGAACCACCTCTGTGAAAAAGTTGCCCCTCAGTCCCTTTTAAATCTTTCCCCTCTCACCTTAAAATTATGCCCTCTCATTTTGAAGTCCCCAACAAAGACCTTTGTTATTCACCTTATCTATGCCCTTCATGATTTTATAAACTTCTATGAGGTCACCCTTCAACCCAGCTTATCCAGTCTCTCCCACAAACTGTCCAGTCCTGGTAACATTCTCGTAAATCTTTTCTGCACCCTCTCCAATTTAATAATATTCTTCCTATAGCATGGCAACCAGAACTGTATACAATACTCCAAAAGTGGCCTCACCAATGTCCTGTATAACTGCAACATGATGTCCCAACTCCTATACTCAAAGTGCTGATCGATATAGGCAAGCATGCCAAATGCATTCTTCAACCCCCTGTCTACTTGTGATGCCACTTTCAAGGAACTATATACCTGCACTCCTAGATCTCTCTGTTCTACAACACCCCCCAGGGCCCAACCATTAACTGTGTAAGTTCTGTCCTTTTTGTCTTACCAATATGCAACACCTTGCATTTATCTAAATTAAACTCCATCGGCCATTCCTCGGCCCATTGGCCCAATCAATAAAGATCCCTTTGTAATCTTAAATAACCTTCCTCACTGTCTAGTATACCACTAATTTTGGTGTCATCCAAATACTTACTAACCATGCTTCCTGTATTCTCATCCAAATCATTTATATAAATGACAAACAGTGGACTCAGCACCAATCTCTGTGGAACACTGCTGGTCACAGGCCTCCAGTCTGAAAAGCAACCCTCCACCACCACCTGCTGTCTCCTACTGTCAAGCCAATTTTGTATCCAATTGGCAAGCTCTCGCTGAATCCCATGTGATCTAAAGTTACCAATGAGTTTACG